TATTTAAACAAAAGTTTACCCAATATATTAACAGGTGAGACTTAATAATATCATGCCTAGAAGTGATAAAAAAAATCATATATGTGCTTGTTGTGGATATACTTTTACAAGACCAGAAAAACTTCACAAGCATTATAAAAGCAAAAAAAATCAATGCAATATACCAATTACTCGAACCCAAGTATCCAAACAGATACTACCTCTTACTTCTAAATCTGGTTCAAACTCAGCAACCCAAATCTCTTCTTCGCAGAACGAAGTTCAAGAGGGGGTTAAAGACCAAGTAATTGTTCAAGATCTGGGAGCCAGTTCAGGCCCAGCAACCCAAGCATATAGAGAAAAAATAACCTCGCAGAATGATATAGTATTTGTAGAAAAAATGTATGACCCGGCCAGATCGCATAAAAATCTCAAAAATATGTTTGTATGGGAAGGAAAGGTTCCAGCAAGCAATAATCCAGAATATGCTTTTAATAAACAGCAAGACAATAAAATAGCATATGCAGATGCCCCATATATACCACAACTCATAGCCTCAACTCGCAAAGCAATTACTAATATTCTTAAAGAAGAGCTCTACAAAAAGAACTAAATAAAAATATCATTAGTTATAGAGAGTACATATATAAAATATAAATATAAAGGAGAAGACAATCCGTCAGACAAAGCAAATTATGATGCTAATTATACTCATTTATATTATAGAGGAAAACAATATATTCTTCTTTCAGAAAATGATATAGACTCATATTTAATTCAATCTGTAGAAGAAATTGATATACAAATTGAGAATCACTTAAAAGAAGAGTCTGGTAAAATTCTTCTTAGAATAGAAAATATATTTATTGAATCCTATACCTACCGTCGAACTAATGGAAGTTCCTATATTCCTACTCCCAAAAAGCTAGCCAATACAAAGTGTACCATCAATCCAAACAATCAAGAGCTAATCGACCCAGAAACAAATACCTTATCAGAAAAATATCTTCAAGGGGCATTAGGAGCTTACTTTGCCTATCAAGATGAACATACAGAACATCTTGAACGAATCTTCCGAGCCACAAAATACAAGCCCTATTTAGATATCGTCAAGCTAAATAGGATTCCTATGCCTACTTCAGTTTGTTCCTGTATATTTAATAAGATTGAGGAGATGAATTCTGATATCTCTATTAATGTTTGGGAATGGAAAGAAGAATTAGCTACTCCCAAACTTGTAATAGCTAGCAAGAACTATAATAGACAACATATTATTGACCTTATAGCTCTTACAGATATTACTAAATCTGAAGAAGATAAGTACAGACAAAAAAACCAACAGAGTAGTGCATGTCCCACACATGCATTCACTTGCATGTTCGGTAATTTCTT